TCTACATGGTATCCTTTCAACGGCTTACTGCCTCATGGTTGCTGGGAAGTGTACCTGGGTATCGGGCTGCGATGTACAGCTGGCCTAGCAGAGTTTCCAAGCTGAGATGGAGTCCGGCGTTTCCATCAGGAAGCCCAGAGTAAACCAATACCGATACACCACCGTCCTGGTATCAAACTAGTCGCATGGTGGCAAATCTCCTCTTATCCACAAAGGCGGCTGCCTGTGGTGACGACGACCCGGGGTAGGCTTTGACGGAGCTGATCTCGGGACTCCAGGGGACTATAGTGGATAAAGCAGCAAAACTCCGAGAAAATGGAAATTATGCTAGAGTCCGCACAACCAATGAAGACGGGCCATTCAAGTATCCAAGTAAGTTATTAACAACCTGGTATTGTAACTTAGCTCTTTCTCACAATACTACAGTACTTAGGAGGAGAAGCTTACTGTCATCTTCCTTATTCCTTTCAGCATCAATTCTTAACGGCTTTCTCAATATTTTGAAAATCGCGATCATCTGTAGTGCCTGTAAAGGAAAAAGATAAAGCGCTTGATGCTGACCAGTCCTTTACGAGTGTGTTAGACTTTGTCAAGCATCCTAGAGGTGATCGAGTGTATTATCTTAACCACACAGCGACTTAAAGGAACTATTAAGAGTCAAATCGGAGCTTGTAACCCAGGTAAGTCTGTTAATCACCTTGTCGATCCCAGAGGAATGAAAGGCTTTCTGGGTCAGTGGCGCGAGATTGACCCAGCAACCGATCCAGTGTGTATTGCAGGACGGCCACTGCACTATTTGCAACCCATATCACTTTTGATACGTTCACTTATCGAATAATTTGAGATACTAGTACATACCTAATTCGTCCCTATGGCATGATAAAGTTATTCAATGGGCTCCGCCCATTTGAGTGATACCAAAAGCATCGGATTTAAAAGAAGACCCTTCACGTTTACTACAATAAGAGAGATGAGTCTGCCATAGTGCCATAGGTGGCACGATTAGTTATTCTATAATACACGGAACTCGTTTGCTGAAAGCGTCGAGCGTCGTGAACCGCTCTCGTGTACTTCTCAATCTCTTCATTGTGGGCCTTTTGCTAGACTGACGAGCACGATACACTAGGCGTAGGAGGGGGAGAGGGGGCTATTTGATTAACCAGCATCTCAGCGCATATAGATGAACCACTTCGGTCCGCTTTAAGGCGCTTTTTTGCGGCTGACAAACGTACCACATCCTCCAGCCGGCCAGAGATCTTTCACGTGAAGGAGATCCATGGTTCTATTAAAATACACACAATCTATCTACAGATCTTTCCACCATCTAGGATTGTTACTTGTCCAACCATCTTTGGGTACTAAGCAAGGTTTCCGATTGTTTTATCCGTCCCATTCGCACTTGCACGATGTCATGGAGATCCTTTGTCGACCCTAACCAACTACGAAGAAACTTTCGAACAGCGTGGGAACGGATAAAATTCGTTTCTTTCTATCTGATCAGCGCTGTTCGATCTATGGATTCACTGAGCATCATATTTTTCTTCTAGGGGGCTTGGTCCCGAACTTCCACCATTCGATCCGTGGTCTTCTTATTGTGCATTTGACACCCCTATGAATACAATCGCTAATTCCCCCGAATAGTTCTTATTTTCTGTATTACTGCATGTTTCCTATGCTAACTATGTTGGCTATTAATGGCATCGTTTTTGTCTCATATTGCTTAACCACTGTCCAGTGTAAATTTCTCCGCAAACTTTGCATGCTGATCTGCTAAACTTTCTGATCCTTCTACACCGCGTTATCCGAAGTAAATGGTTGCGGTTACTGGAATATGTTTTGGATCAGTTCTGTCAGATTATACTGCCTATGAAAAATTGCGTGCATGATGCAATGGTCGGAGGCGCCCTGGCTACATACACGTGGAATCGATCCCCGCGCCCATGGCCCACCAAGCCTTCGGTCCCTCCGGGGTCGGCAAATTGGTACCAGACTTGTCTGAGAGGATAGCAGCAGAAAGGTACTGGCTCAATACATCGGTAGGCCACTGCGAGTCATTGTAAAGGCCAGATATGCATTCAATCACCTCCAACGATACTTAATGAAGTCGAATGCATGGCGCATCCCTAAAGGGGTTGACCAGCGTCGAGAGCTTTATCATTTAATGATTCTGTCATGGTTTTCTCGACTATACTATCTTGGTATCATTACGGTATCGTTATTGATGTCTCATAGATACGAGGAAACGAATCGAGTGTGAGAAGTGCTGAGATCCGCACAGTAAAAGTGAAGAAGGGTGTATAAGATTTTGAAAAAATAGAAATTCCTCACTGAGAGACCCCTACATTCACCGTTTATGGTGGGGCTCCTGGAATAGTGAATCACCATGAATGGTCCGCTGATATTAGAATACCAAGTAGTTAAGAAGATTTGGTTGGATTAGCTGCTCGCCTTTGTCTGTGCCACGCGGAGCTTTTCGTATTTAGGAGTCACAATGCCGGACACGTCAAACTTGGATAATTAAACTGTTTATAATAATTATCCAACAATTATAGTACAACAATACAACTGTACAATTGATACAACAATGGTAGGAGGAATAAATAGGCACAACCTGATCACTGATGGTTCAGGTTGCTTATGAGTGAAGAGGTTATCATATGAATTCTTCTATATGAGATGGACGTGAGAAAAGGTCATGATGACATGGGCAGCAGTGCTGTGAACTGAGCGAGCTAAGTGGGGAGCGGTTTACATACATTCTGTGATAGGCGAAGTTGGATTAGAGTAGATGGAGAGATGGTTTGCCACTAAGAGGTGTTGGAAACATTTCCCAAGCATTGCAATCTAATAAGGCAATATTCAAAGTATAGGACTCTAACCGCAGATATTCACATAAGATAACAGCCTACGAAATGTTAAACATAAGGTTATCAGATCGTCATGGGTAACAGCATTCGAAATATTTTACATAGAGAACTTCCCAATGTTGGTGAAAAATGTTCGCTATAAATGGTCTTGGTCGTTGTGGTAAACTCAGAAAACCGCCCACCATGTTGGTTCCCTTCTAATCCTTGTATCCCAATATGACGTTATTTAGACGTCCGTCTGAAAATAGCATTAAAACCTCCAGTGTTGACCTTATAGAATGTATGCCCTTCTATATGCAACTTCTCCAAGTCCATGTAAAGCGCTTCGACTTTGTCCTCGTCAAAGCTTGATATCCGTGAGCAAAGGAAGAACGATGTCAAAGCCGTTAGTGATCCACGTCTCGCCAGCCGTAAGCATCCGATTAGAGGTGGTTAATTGTTCGAATGAATCGATGTTCATGGCCAGACTCGTGTTGACGAGAATGCCGACCTCTTTATTAACGTAAGTTCTGCAGAACATTTGTTTTTCGATGACGTAGGCGGTACTATGGGCGTCATCTTTTCTCAGCCAGTCCAATAACGCTGTACCTTGCACTTCTCGCCCCTATGATGAAGTCTTCTATCAAGGACTTGAATGAAAATGTTCGTGCGTTGTAAGTACAGATCAACACGTTAACCCTGCGATATTCAGGCAACCTAAAATGGCCTTGAGATTTTAGCGGCTTCTCCGTATCCATCGCTGCCATATCGGGAGCTCTTTCGGTTTCTGTGTTAGCATTTGCAGTACATGTACAGCTTGCTCAGCTCTGATGCTGCACATACTCACCGGTCACTAGCCAGTCATTTCCAGAGTAGACGAGGAACTTATTTGTTGAAGTCGATCCCCAATCTTCTATGTACGGCGAGTCACTAGATTGCAACTTTTTGCCAAAATGCTTGCAGAATACACTCTGCATTGATGATAACAAACCTCACGCATTCATGAACATATCCGCGCAAACACAAAAGGTATATCAAATCGCCATAGCACCCACCTAAAGTCCATCTCCTGTATCCCACTGCGTCTTAGGGAAGCACACGGTCGCTTTCTATCTTGGTTTAACCTCCTATCAACCACTTGAGTACGAGCTACGTAGCCTTGAGACTAACTAACTAGGTATCTTTCAGTAAGGGAGATCTGCGGTTTCAGGGTGCCTTATACCAATTTCGCGTCTTCCTAGTATAACGAAATGTTAAATATGAACCACACCATGGATTCTTAAGATTAACTACACTCTTAACCTTTCTATTTACTGCCATTTTTTTAACGTCAGAGTATTTCGCGAAATTTAACTCTTACAATGCTAAAATATTTGCAAAATTCCGGACCGCAGGGGTTTGCCGTTAATTGTGATTACAACTATAGCCCCAGCCTAACTGGGTTCAATGCCGACTTGGACTCCCCAGATCAATCCCGTTGACGGGTGATTGCTGATGGCAAAAGATCGATAGAACTAGCTGAGAGACAGGCGAAACGAAGGAGCCGCATGGTGTGGTGTGAACGCGTTACTCCGCGAAAAGGACAATAGCGCGTTCATCCCCCACCGCAGACACCTGCGGTACGGAGTTTTGCAAATATCTCAGCATTGTAGTTATTAACTGCACTATTCTTTGTCACATTCACCTCACAGATGTCACTTTTGAAGATGACCAATAATGCTATCAACATGAACAATAGCGTTGTATATGTACATTTTATTTCATCTAAACAGGACTATATGTGTGCTCTATGAACGTATGATAGAAATAACTAGTGGAAAAGACAAACTGATAGCGCAATTAAACCTCAGAATTTTACAGATTATTTACGAGAAATAAGGCATCTAATATTAACCAGTGCAACATGATATCATATCACGCCGTTAGGAACTGTTCCAAATTCATACGACTCTAAATTACCGAATTTCAAAGCTCAATAAAAAAAATATCTCGAAAGCGCCAAGAGTTCCCGCTAAAGGTTATACTAAGATCGGAAGAGATAAAGCAGTAGAAATTGACTTAACCGGATTCACTTGCAACACCTAAGAGAACCTACTGGCGTGAAAAAGTGGTACTACACGATATCTGTTCTATATATTAGTCTGGAAGACCACTCTAATTTAAGTCTATAGGCACAGGATGATCCGGTACAAGAGACGTGAAAAATGAAGTAATAAATGAGTAGCAAGTTGCAAAGAATATCTGAAAACCAGTCGGTGGTGTTGGCGCAATATATGCGGGTTGTACCTAAATTTTAAGGATTTTTGAAGCCAAAGACAACAAAATATTGAAACAAACCTCCTCGGCAGCACCGTGTGACTGTTCGCCTGCATTGTTATTGTTCACATTCGGCTCCGCAGGTCCAGACACACGGGCTTGTCTTTCTTGATTTCTCCTCAGTTGAATGAAGAAAATGAACAGTGCGATTGTAATAACAGCTAAGAAACGTTCAACAGAAGAATAGAGCAACACTGCCTGCAAGCAACTGTAGTTTTACGAAACCACTTTCTTATTATTCTAGTAGCCTGTTTATTACTAGTCCTTACGCAGAAGAAAAAAAATACTTTTTAGATTGAGTTCTTAGCATAGATTTCACAGATTATTCCGTACTCTTCTCTCCAAACCGAACAGTTATGAAGATCAATATTAATTCAAAACATAGTTTCCGAACAAAGATCACATTTAAATTTTAGGTGACATGACACAATATCGAACCCCAGAAGTACATCGTTAATTACAGCCACAATGATGCTGAGATATTCGCAAAACTTGGACCTCAGGCCAGATCGAACCACGATTTCCCTTTTGGAGAAGATTGTGCATTAAACAGTGCACCATCGACATCCTTGCTCTGCGTTTCTCTGCTAGTTTTCTATCTAACGCTACTATAAGCAATCACTCAGCTCAGCTTAACTGTGTAAAATACCGATTAGTGCCCTCCAGATCAATTCCTCCGACAGCTGATGGCAGCGTCACGTCGTCGCGCAGTGTAATGCGCGAGCCCCCGGAAAGTCGTGGTGCGATCTGACCAGAGATTAAAGTTTTGCGAATATCTCAGCACCGTTGTAGTTGCAATTCACATCATATCCTGTCGTGAAAAATTATGGCAGGCAGAAAATAAAAGGTTAACATTATATCGTTAATATTTTAAAACATTGGAAAGCAGAGGTTACTTAGGGAAAAAAATAGCTATGCTACGTGCTTTAACATTCCTCAATTCCAAGCTCGATCTTCTCATAAGCTAAGCTTAACGCACTTTACTAATCTGCGATAGCATCATACTTATTTAGAGGTGACTATACCGCACTAGCATTGACATATATGGCTATAACTAAGAAGAGTGCATAAAAACATTGATGTTTTTCTATATCCGTAATCTCATAAGCTTGCAAAGTAAAAACACAAGATGCACAACAACGACGACGAGACTCCTGAAAACTTCTCGAAGCCGTTCAACAGAGATGACCGAAGGTCAGGATTCTCGTGAGCAGATGTTCAGAAAACGTCACACGACCAGCACTATGTTACCGGATTCTATGCGATGTAATCAAATTTCGTCAAACCAATAACATTAATGTCCAACAGGTTCATTTTTCATCGCAGATTTCTGTTATACCTATTACTAGGATATTCCACGAGATGTTCTACATTGACTGAGATCTAGAGTCAAGCGAGAAAAGGGAGAAGAATGTGAAACGGAAAAGAGAAAGACAGAAACAGGCAAAAAAAAGGAGAAGAAGAAGGAGAAACAGAGGGAGACAGAGAGCGAAGGAGACAAGGTGGGGAACGTTGACCTAATCACACAAATGTCTACTGGTTATTATCAACTAGAGTCACCAGCCTCCTCTCCTCCAGCTCGCTAAAATCCTCATCCCAATTTTTAAATAAATGCACATATTACTCCTGTTGTAAAATTAAAATTATTCCCAAGATACTGTGGACGTAGTTATTCAAACGGGCACAAATGCAGTTCATAATCTGTACAAAAAAGGTTGATAGTCAACTAATAGATAGCCAAAGTAAACAGCTCACCGACAGAAACAATAACACTCTGAAAGCTCGATAAACCAAGTCTAGAACGTCACGTCTTCCTCCAGGAACAGCAGCGGCGGCGGCGACGTTTGCTTCAGCAGGAATCTGACATGTTTACATTTACGTTTAACGCCCATATTTAAAAAGAGAGTTCAAGTACACAGTAAATGAAATTACCTGTTGTGCTGCCTGAACCACATTAGCATCAGCTTGATTAGGCGGGACAACACCGGCGTGGCCATCACGAGCGGTAAGAACACGTGCGATAGGTATGTTCATCGTTTGCCTGTTGTTTCCACCAGTGCCTATTTGCTGCCCAAGGGGAGCAGCGTAACCCATTTGGCTCATCATGAAACTCTGGTACTCATACCATCTAGAAGAATCTAGATCATCGTAAATGGAAAATATATACCTAGTAAACCTACTGTTGCATGTACGCTGCGTAAAATCTTGAGTACTGCTGCATCCGCTCAATGTGTTCAGAACTACTTGCTCCATAATACCGTTGGTAAAATTCGTAATAGTTGACCGTTGAAGAAGAAGACCCAATAGAAGGCTGCATTACTGTAGCAGACGTACTTGAGGAAGTTCTGAAGAACAGTGGTTGAAAATACATACGCAGCAGGAACAGATTGAACTTGTTGTGAACATGAAGATGAAACTTTGCAATGAAAAAGTCAACCAAAGTCAACACATGCAAACTATACTTTGCACGTGGAACAAAGTCTACTGAGCACGTATCGGATAAATGCTACGAGAATGAAACCTACGACTTCGTGACTGAACCAGGAATCTGACGCTGTCGCAACTCTGGAGGGCTAGATTGTGGTAAAGGACAAACAAGATGGAGCACTTGTGGACCTTCTACCACTTTTCTGTAACAATGCCAATCACTCTTATTAATACATGGACGAAACCATATTAACATATAACTCCCATGCCGTTTTTAGCGTAGATATGTTCTGAGATAAAACTCAATTTCCAGCATTTACGGAGTTGCTAGCTTTCTTTAAACAATAAACGAGAAATCTTCGATAAGGAGTTTGAAAACATGACAGGATTATGAAGACTTTAGTCTATCGCTTTAGGTGTATGAAAACTATGCATGCTACAACATACTACACATTACATTGCTCCATCATACAAACATGTTGGAACCAGCATTTGGAAGTGTTCTCGGCTCATGTTTAGTCTGCTTTCGTATTTTTTATATCCCATATAGTCCATTGCTTGTGAAACTTCAAGTAAACGAGCTCGGTCGAGAGCTTATTCTAAATTCTAGGCGCATAATAGCGCTTTTCCTGTTAACGACCGATAGAACACCCCTGCTGGACACGCTGTGGATTGGTTGCAAGAGCCATATAAAAAGAATTCTGCGCGCCATAATAAACCATCGGAAATACGACCTCTATAGAGGTTATACCAGCTGCGCGGAGCGCCGAGTACGATATGTTGAATATGTAAGCGCTCTTTACTTCCCTTCTACACTTCGTAGGGCGCGTGTGGTGCTGTGGTCGGAGGTGCTCTGCAACCCACACATGGAATCGATTTCTGCGCTCATGGCTCACCAAACCTTCCATCCCTCCGGGGTCGGCAAATTAGTAGCAAACTTGTCTAGGAGGTTAGCAGCACTGAGTCGATACATCGGTAGGCTACCGCGAGTCATTGTAAAGGCCAGATATGCGTTCCGCCACCTCCAAACGATGCTTAGTGAAGTCGAATGCATGGCGCATACCTCAGAGACTGATCAACCACGACAGCCTTTTTTATTTCACACTCCTTACGACTTTCAAATTATTTTGCACACCCTCCTTTTCAAATTTGTCCACGCCACATTGGATAGCCTTCTTTTCTGCTGTCGTCCCTCACATGCGTTTATTTTTGCAAGCTTCCGGATTAAATTCTGTGAATCAATAGTCGGATTGCGTTTAAATAACGACCTTATGTAGCAATGTTAATAAAGAGTACGATGGATCCAGAATCATTTAACCAGGACTGGAATGAAGTAAATCGTTTGCGCAAAACAAACTTCCGATTTTACACTTTTCACCACTCAGAACTGCGTAGTAGGTCTCGATCGCTAAACTGACTCCAAAAGGAACACATTTTTAATACGATCCCAGTTACTTTTACTGTTTCTAGTGAGAAAACAACTGCAGGTATAACGCCATACCCGGCCGGGGTAGAAGGTTATTCCTATTTGAGCTTTCCGATGATTGTCAAACTTGTTCAGAATTTGGGTAAACGCGGTCCTGCTGGACTATAAAATCCTCTCTATATCACAGTTCGGACACACAGGTATATAAACAAACACATACGAGTACGAAAATAAGCGTTTGCATATATAAAGCTATGTAAATAAGAACCTCTCAGCGGTTTACCGCCTCATCGTGGCTGGGAGGTGTTCCTGGGTGTCGGACTGCGATGTAAAGCGGGAGATTCGTCCCCCTGAAGGGTCTCTCAAGATAAGAAGGAGTCCGACGTTTCTATCAGGAAGCCTAGCTAGGAGTAAACCAATACCAGGGTCCACTACTGTCGTGATATCAAACTACTTGGTGGCAAATCTCTTTTTGACCCACAAAGGCCGGCTACGGTGTCGACGACCTGGGGCAGACTTTGGCCAAGCTAACCTCGGGATTTCAGGGAACTACAATGGTTTAATCAGCAAATCTCCGAGAAACGGTGATTATGCTGGAGTCCGCACAGTATCAAGTTCAAATAGTAATATAAATATATATGCACACATATACAGATATATGAATATATATACGCATGCACGTACACGTATAAAGATATGCACATAACTATAAGTATAAATGCATATACACATGCATGTATATAGGTATATATGTATATGTACATATGAACACTGAATACGTGTTTAACAGAACAGCGCTGTTTATGCCTCCACAGGTTTATTCATGATTCGCAACTGCTGTATTTTGAAATCATCACGTTTCATGCAAATAAACTTTTCTTGAAGTAAACAATTAGTACGCCCATATATTTAAAAAACAACAATGCCCACCAAACTACAAATTAGATACCAACATATGTGGCGCTTCGAAGCACCGGGGACTCTACCTTTTCCCATATTTTAACGCACTTTCACCGCAGTACACAGTTTTAACTACACACTCAGAACCCAATAGTGACTTACACCGCCGTAAGCAACGTTTAAAAATTCACGTAATGAGGTCTCACCGTTGGTCTATGACATCCTTGATAATCATATCATCTGTGAGGCAAGCGCCTGAGAAAATGAGCCTTTGAGAAGTTACAGCCTAGAACAATGAAAATTGAACGAAAAAAAGGAAATCTTTAAAATCTACAACATACTAAAGAAGATTTTTCCTGCATCTCCCCAGTGCAGTTCTGCCCACCAAAATAAACAAACCACGGAAATGGAAGACTTAACCTTCGCGATGACCTTTCTAGTTCCTCAATTTTAGTTCAATTGTTATTCGGGAACTGACGCCATCTAGTGCGCCTGCTGTGAAGTGGTTAGAATACCCCTGCAATTCACATGGATCAGTCCCACCAAGCCTTCCATTCCTCTGGGGTCGACAAATTGTTGTATAGGTCTGGGAGGATAACAACACTGGCTGGATACATCGGTAGACCACCGCGAGTCATTGTAAAGACCAGATATGTATTCAAGCGCTTCCAACGACACTCACTGAAGTCGAATGCATGGCGCACCCTTCAGGGATTGATCAACGCCGAAGACTTTGTCCCTTTATTTAACAGAGACCACGTTGCTCTTATCATAAGGGAGAAGCTAAATGATTACCTCAGCAATGAGTGCAGAGAAAAAAGAAGACAAATCAGAACAGTAAGGCAGTTCATAAGCTACTTTGTATACCACCGAAACCAATGTCTGTTTCTGGCTGTAATGAGAAAAAAAAATTGCCTTATCAGTTTTCGCTGCCACTAAATGCCGCTTAAGCCTACCCACTTAAAATGACAAAGACAGGTGATAAAAGGTCACTGGCAAAAAGGCAGCGACGAGTTCTTCGGCAGAAAGTATCAGGAGGTTTTACTTCTTATTTTCTGCCTACTACAATTTTAACGGCAGGGTACTAAACGAAATACAACCACAATGTTGTGAGATATTTGCAAAACTCTGGACCGCAGGTGTCTAAGGTGGAGACGAACGCGCTATTGTCCTTTCTGGGGAGTAGCGCGTTCACTACCACACCATGGCGCTGATCGATGGAACTAGCTGAGAGATAGGCGAAACGAAGGACCCGCATGGTGTGGTGGTGAACGCGTTATTCCTCGGAAAGGACAATATCGGTAGGTTTAGAAGATAAACATACTACCAAATACCCTCTGAGGGAGGAAACCACCACAACGGACCCACCTCCAGATAACAGTGATAAGGACAATGAAAAACTCACAGGATGGGAAGAGCAGACTTGGTGAAGGTGCTCCTTCAACATTCGAATTGTCCAATGCAGCGGACAAAGAACTTTGATGTCCTTAGAAGCCTGGAAGGCGCAGCGTACCGTCAGTTCAACAGTGTTTGTTGGGAGGTTTTCTATTGACGCCATACCTTAAAGGGAAAAAGCAACTCTTACCATGAAGTAAAAACACCGGAAAAGCCCTAGTTCGGCTCAAAGCAAGTAGTTCTGTAAATTGGGCTTTTCCACGTGCTTTCATAGAAAAGCTTTCTTAATAGCATCAGAACGAACGCAGGAGCTATCTCACAACGGACCGAATATTTAGTTGAGTGCTCGCAAGTTGAGAGAGGATGGAACTGAACCAACCCGGAGCTGATCAAACAAAGAACTGAACTGCCCTAACAGTGGTAAGCTGCGGAGTGCGTGCCGCCTATCAGCTGATACACGTCGCTCTGTGACGTATGATAGGCGCGCCGCAGCCGCTCGCGGCCGCGTCCTGCGCGGAAATCGTCATCAATGCTGCACGGCCTAAATGATTTCTATTGTCAGGGCTAGAGCTCACCTTGTCAGTTCTCTTTGCTGTTGCCTGTTTTTCATGGTCTCTTGCATGTTCTCTCTGGGGCAGTTTTGGAAAGCAGCTTCCATTTAGTCTCGTCCTGAACAGCCAATGAGATTTTGTCTTGTTTATGAGCATACGGGAAATCGTTGTACTTCTAAACTCTCTGCTACACTTCTGCAAAGTTGTGTAGCGACCTTGAGTAAGCTCATGAATTGGGCAAGATATTCTTCATACGGTAGTTTTCAATGGTCCCATTGCGATCGAAGTTTGCACTTTTCTGTTGCCGTTCCACTTATCCTTTTTGATCTTTCAGATGCCTAGTGATCTGGGTACGTGGTTCAGAAGCGTGCCTGTCGTCACCAGGTACTGGTTCGCTGTTTCCGTTGTCATTCCTCTACTTGGAAGGTTTGGACTGATAAATCCATTATGGATGTATCTGGATTGGGATCTGGTTGTCTACCATTTTCATGTGAGTATTATCAGTACTTTTTTGTTGTCTTGAAGTTCATTGCTATTATTTGTCGAGCACGAGGATCCCGCTTCACAACGCTGGATAAGACTTGTTCAAGTGAGAAAGCGCGTAAGAATTCTGGCCTTTGAATTCTTTAGCGATGAACCACGTAGCAATGTGTGGATTAGTCTATTATTGGCAGGGAAAAATTACCTGCACATAGGCTATACAGTTTACTGCTTCCGTGCCTCCAGTACTGATGCCCTTCTGATGTCTATTTCCATTACTCCGGTCAAATATCCACTGAAGAGCTAATATAATTACGGCTCTATTCTGCTGCCAACTACAGTTGCTACCTGTTTGATGGAGTGTTAGAGCAATATGAAAACTGCCTTATTTGTCCTAACGTAGCACTCGTTACCAATTTTTAACATAAGGTTATGCATAGGAAGCTCACAGAGGCTCACTGTAGGTGGCTACCCGTTCTTAACAATAGCCTACTTTGCCATGTAGGTTTGTTGCTTGTTGGAGACGACCCTGAATTCCACGCATATAGTTCTTCTTTTGGATGGTTGCTTCCAAGCGTCGTCATTGTGTAGGATCCATTTCGTATGCAAACGAGTTCTTTTTATGCGTGAATTTGAGCAGGAAATAAGTTAGGCAGTGAAACCCATTTCTGGATCAGCGTTTGCTGCAGGGTAAGCGTGTACAATTTTTGGCCCACCTTTGCTCTCCTGTTCACAACACGCGGGTGTGGCACGTAACGTAGCGACTAGTAAGGTGGAAATCTTGCAACTTTCGTGAATGTACTGGAAGGCTTCAATTACTCATAGCGCTGGAATTTAAGTAATGAAGATTTGTGGTCAAGGTATTGTTATTTCCATGGGCAATGGTTCTTTTTATGGCAACCATTCAATAACAGGCCTGCAGTGCAAGAGCGATTCTATATATGCGGGATTTAGTTTGAGGTTTATTAGAGGACAAACTAACAGTTAAATTTTTTCAGTTCTGGCGACCGATAACCGCATTGTTGTTTTATCCTGTATCTCCACAGACAGGTTTCCATTGGCTTTTAATGCTCTATTTTTTGTATAATTATTCGAAGAATCTTGAAACGGGCACGTTCTCTGGACGTCCAGCAGACTACTTATATATGCTGATATTCAACTGGTTGATTTGTGCGGTAGGTTAATTGTTCCTTTTACAATCGGAGCTCTATTATACGTGACTTTGTTGCAGTTGTTCTGTGTAAAATAAGACCTTGTAAGAATAAACGAAGTTCTTTTTAACTGTAGGACCAAGATTTTCTAGCTTTCTGGCACTAAGTTGATCATATCACCCCTTTGTGTCTTTCCGAAGACGTTTAGTTGTTTAGCCTATAGTGGACGATGTGCATAAGTATAAAGTGCGCATAGTTGTTACAAGTTGGCGATGCGATTGTATGCAATACGTTTTCTTTTGGATGTTTTGTTTTGCCACATTTCATATTCTTTCGAAAGCTTGTAGAAAGCAAAGCAGTTTAATAGTGGTCGGAGCAGAAAAGCTGTTCTTTATGCTAAATAATTTATGAAAACAAGTTTTTTTTCTTTAGATCAGATCCATTTCGCTTCTATAAAAAGATAAAAGGATGTTGCTGCAGGCGTTGATCAATCCCTGAGGGATGCGCCATGCATTCAACTTCATTAAGCATCGTTGGAGGTGTTTGATTGCATTTATGGTCTATACAATTACTTGCGGTGGCTTCCTGTATCGAGTCAGTGTTGCTATCCTGTCAGACAGTTCTGGTACCAATTTACCGACCGCGGATGGATGGAAGACTTGGTGAGCCTGGAGCGCGGAAGCGATCCCATGTGTATATTCAGGGCGCCTCTAGCCACTCCGCACCTCCTTCACTTGTGTGTGGGGCAGTTAGCCATCAAGAAGAGTTGAATACTTGCAATTCTAGTGCAGAGATATAGTTAGCGTTTACTTTATGTTTTAAACATTGTTTATACAAAAAATTTTATAGATTGGAAATTTTGCCAGTTTGCTATCTTACATCTTGAAGCTGTGCACACATTCTTGCAGTTTGTACTTTTTGTGTGTAAAAACAGTTCTTGCACAGAGGTTACAATTCTCATATGCAATCTGGAGTCCTTGTATAGAGCCTTCATATGGTATACAATCAACAATCTTTTCATATCGCTTTCTTGTATACAACCATAGTAGTTTATTAAAACAGTGAATACACATGAAGTATAGGATCAAAGCCTCTTAAGTATTTTATGTTACCAACACCAAAATTCGTTCACTTATGGAAAACTATTGTATGTTATCGCAAAACCAACATCGTTCACTATCTGGAAGTTTTGTATTTGAATAAGGAATGAGTTTAGTTCTTTATGCAGATGACCCGTATTTGGGCGGTGTCTCAGTTGGCCGCCGCGCGAGTACTTGCTTCGGGCTTCATGCGTTAAGCAGCAAGGAAGACTTTGATTGCCAACTGGACTTTTGCAGAAATGCGTTTGTGGGGTTAAATCGCGATTGCGAATGATCGAATGATTTGGATTGCGAATTAACGGCGCTTTGACTAACCAAAAATGTAAAACCTTGGTTGGAATATGTCTGTGACTTAATGGAAGCAAGATCAGCTCTGCGCTACGTCTTATGTTTTTTAGGGGATTTGTATGGCAGCTGGAGTTTATTTCTTGTTGGAACCAATGGTTTTAAGCGTTTTGTACGTGTGGTGTCAGCTGAATAAGGATACTATTGTTTCGTTTTGGTTTGGAACCACATTCAAGGTTTTCATTTTTAAATCAGTCTTGATGCTTCTAGTGTTGTCAGAAATATACATTAGTTTTTTCTAGAGATCTTCTTACCTGTCTTTTATTCACTTTCTATTTAGCTGCGGCTAATGTTAATTTTTTTGCTTGGCTTTAATTAATATTCTTGTCTTCTGTCTACGTTTCTGTTATCTGTTTCAAAAGAAAATGTGTTAAAAATCGTTCAAAGAGCCTCGATTTCAGGCGATGTATCTCCCTTGGATATTATGTGCTTTCAATGCAATTCTTCGTGGTGGCGGTATAAATGAACTACTGGGCATATTGGTCGGCCACACTTACTATTTTCTTGCATTCGACTACCCTCTTCAGCACGGTGGAACTTCTTTTTTACGGACGCCACAGTTTTTATACAATTATCTTCCAAACGAGGAAGGTGGTGTTCATGGATTCGGAGCGGATCGTGTGAACCAACGAAGAGGGGCAGCCGAAGGTGGTAGGCATTTCTGGGGAAGAGGGCAAGTAGTGGGTGGAGAGTAAGCTGTGTTTTCACCATTTCTCCCTAACGTGATAAATAAGCTTCTTGGAACTCGTGTGTATGTGTTCTCGGTTTAAACATTAGACAAAATTGGCACATCATCAGAGTGGCGTTCGCCTTGTGTTTATTTAACGTTTATCACCTTAAACGACGAACTTCTTGTGATCTTTGTGTCGCTGTTTCTTTTCTGTTTATTAAATTATGCTTAGCACCTTGATGTTTTTCCTAATGTAAATTTCTGTAAATAAAATTTATTTGGATCTCGTTTTCCTCATTCTGGGTTGTTGCCGTTTTGTACTTTCACTGTCGTTCCTAGTCTACATTTGTGGTTATTTTATACATTATTCCTCATGTATTTGACATTTAAGTTACCATGCAGAACGACGCTGGTGAAACTGTAGAGCTATACGTTCCTCGTAAATGGTACGACATGTTGTTTCTACCTAAGTGGCAACAAGGGTTACTTAGCCATATTGGTTGTCATGTCTGCAATTCCAATTTTGTCTTTAAGTTTTCCGCTTGTTGAAAAGGCGTTTCATTTCAGCTCATCATCAAACCGTCTCATTGGCCCTAAGGATCATTCATCTATTCAGATCGATATTGTTGATGTCGATCCAATTACTGGACGCATGGTTCGAAGTCATTTATCAGTTGTGGTCAGTATAAGTAAAACTGCATGTTTGTCTTGAGGTCGCCGGGAAAACAACTCGCTACGCCATCTGCGGTGCTCTTCGTCGTCAGGGGGAGTCTGATGATGCACTACTAAGGCTAGCTCAGAGAGACGGGCTTATCCCTAAGAATCTCTGAATTGTTGTTATGCGTTGTGATAAAGTTACTTTTCTGGTGTATTTTTGCGTAATTTGGACATTGGTAGTGAAAATAATTGGCGACATGAAAATTCTAATAGCATTAGCTAGTTTGAACTTCCCATAATTGTGTCGTTATCGGAGTAGTTTTAAACATATTTGCGACGGTGAATTTCCGTCAGTTGCGTGCGCCATGAAGTCAATGAAGGCAGTCTTTATATCCTACGCAAAAAATAGAGGATCATGGCATCCTTCATGTTCTGCTGCACTGTGAAGTTGGGTCTTTCCGTTTTTCTTCATTTATTTCTATTTTTCAAAATACCCTCAGGGCTATATGTACTCAGTAGTTTTTGCTATCTTTCCTTCTCTTGTTTGGCGGAGGAGCAAACGCGTCCTCCATCTAACTATACTGCTGTTGGACGTTGGCACTCGGCCACGCAACATGTCAAATATGTTTTGGTCCTTTTAAATGTTTTTGTATCCACTTTTTTCTTATGGTAACAGTGGTGATTGAAAAGAGAAGAAAAGTGGTTTTCTGGGTAGATGCAAATTCTTTGGGATTTTTTTTTGCAGATTTGGATCATGACCTGGAGGGACGAATATTTTCGATCGACCGCTCATCGAGAGACAACGATGAGATGGTGATAAAGAGGAGACTGTGTCATCAGCGTATTATGCTGAAGTAAATAAATGGGGATAACAACGATTCGAAGATCGATAGATGACGAAGCAGTGGGTCTTCGATAGTAGTCGTTTGGAGTAACTCAATGGCTTCTGTCAAATGTATTCCTATGGACTATATATCCATAATGTTTGGAATATGGTCGTGAATCGGGCGAATAAATACGAGCAAAAGAAGAAACAGTCATAAGAGCCAACGGGACCTGCACAGCTAATAAGGACGGGTCATTCAAGTATCAAGTAGAGAAAACTGCAGAATATGAACTGATTTTTGCTTGTTTAACACTCTTCTTTGGAAGGCTGTTAAAACACTCAGAATAAGTGTTGACCAACTCTAGTATTCCTACTAGTACTTTTGGAAGTACATTGACTTTGTAAATTTTGCGAACCCAAGTCAGAACGTCAACGTACAAGTGCCATCTTAGCACCGTCTCCAACACCAGTAGTTGAGCACACTTGCTCGGAATTGTTTTCTGTGAAATACAAAGAGTGAAGAATCTTCTAGAGAATACCTCAAACGGCGCATGGCACAACGTCTGTTGTGGATGACTGCCCATTTAAAATAGAGAGTATATTGGGGAAAAAATACACATCTTCGGGAGTAGCAACTAATAAGTGCGATATTTTCTACAAGTGGAGTATGCGCTTCCTTGCCATCGCTCTATTCAGGTCGTTATTAGATTTCTACGACTAGGGTGCTGTATGTTAAAATAGAAATATTTCTTCGGGATTTCTTCAAAATACGAACATTAGGGACTGCTAATAGTTAGTAAAGTCAAGAAACCCAGTTTATACAATTGTATTGATTAGGGGTGCATGTGTTGTTCACCCTAAATGGTTTCCTTTCGAGTACTAGTACCAAATTTCACCATGACCGCTGATCAGCTGTCGGTTCCTTTCGCTTTGAAGATTACAGCTGTTTATAATGAAATGAAAGTTTTTATAAAAACTCAGACTTTTCAGTTTAGTTCACCGATATGATATCTATGACTTGAACAGCAAGTTTGCGAATGGTAATATCCGGTGTGGCAAGAATAAGCTTCTTCACAGAATCCAATATTTGAGGTAGAAGTTCTCTGGCGTCGTCAAGAGAAAGGACGATGCTAATCGGAACTAGACAAATTTGCCGATATGCAAGGAGGCATAGTGTGCCGTAATCCGGCTGAAATTTTCATAACAATCAAAAATAGCAGATGCTTAGTAACATTCGGAATTTACTTGTCTATTTTTGCGGGACCAAGTACTGAGATTTCTTTTTCATAAACAACATATGAAAGGACAAAGGTGAAGGAGTTAGAACTATCAGCGAAATACACAACCACAAGGATACCGAGATATAGGCAAAACTCGAGACATATGAGCCCCGAACGAACTCGCAATTACTCTTATAGGTGGGTCACGTGCTGTCCACGACGTCAACCAAGGCCTTTGCTTAGTCCCTCTCAGCTGGTTTTTAACTATATCGGTGCTACCAGCACAAATTAGCAAAATATCATTACTGAGACAAATGCAAAGCAAGGGCCTTAGTTGGTGTAGCGAACAGCACTTGAGCCGACTGTAAGAGTATTCGTGGGTTTGAACCCCACCTGAGGTTTGGAGTTGTGCTCATATCTCAACATCCTTGTGGTTGCACTTCCCATAATACACTGCTATGAAAAAAGAATACGTGGGAAATAAAACTTTTTTTCAGGGAAATGTAGGCTCTCTAAGCAAGCTTACTTCTTGCTCGTCTTTACTTTCGTCCATCAAATCAGGCCGAAATGGATTTGGTCGTCCGTTGACGGCGTTGCTTGGTAATCCGATTGGCCGCTGCTTTTGATACTCTAAACTTGGTTTTCAACATTCTATAGTCGGCCAAAATATCTTAAACATTATCTAAGGAACAGTGTCAGCAATGACGATCCCTAGGATAGCGTTTTTTTGAGCATGTCAAAGGTTCTCAATAATATATGTGAAGCTGCCTCTGGCTATATTCTTCCTAAAAGCAACAAAGAGCGTTACATCGAGGTTGTGATGCTTCTCGTTTTCCTGGAATGAGCGAAGTCCTCTAATTAGCTCTGCTGCGCGATGAGGGTCTACAAAGTTCATGGTGGCTATGAGTTAATTGATGATTAGCAAAATTATAGGCAACGTACAGCTGAATTATGATAAACATAACTTTATTTTGTAAAATCTACCTAGGATGGTGTTACTGATCTCCTTTTCGGAAACAAGTTTGTAAAGTTTTTGATCGTGTGACTCGACCAGCATAAACTCGAACTTCTAGAACGACTAAAATCAGGTTTCCTTCTACCTAAAGTGATAACTTACCAACTACTTACCTCTTCCCTGTGTTCTCTTGCTATGGTGGCAAGTCTGTTGCTAGCAACTTGTACCTCAGCATTTCGAAGTAACGACACCATCCTGCTGTGACAATCGGACCATCGTGATAAATCCCGTGGACTTAAAAAATGTTGACAATTAATTTGAGTAGAAACAACATGTCGAAAAAAGACTCTTGCTGTTTGCCTCTTTTTCGTCGCTCCTATTAAAAGTGAATACATCTTAATTAAAGCGGACGAAACGAGCTGCTTATATAGGTTTGGTCGAGAAATCCCCATAGCTTGACTCAAAGCACTTGACAGGCTCTGTTGACGTTGAAAATCCACGGCGACCTTAAGCATGACATATGGAAAAGTGGAGGACAAATGATGACATGCAGTGATATATCTATATCTTGTCAAACTTCGTTTATGAAATGAAAATGAACCTGGAAGCTAGCGTCCAAGCAGTGGTGTAACATCACACGAACGTCATCCGCTAGTTCAAATGGTGAACAGCACTCGCCGGTCATGAGGATTCTCTCCATACCCTCAGGCGCTCGCTCACATGGGCAAACGATAGACCCGATCAACTGCACAACCAGCTGGTGTGCCAACAGTGATGTGATCAAATAAGAGGCTGACATTCTAGAATCTTGCTGTTCACTCCTTCACAAACTCAAAGTGAGACCTCCAAATAAACTATCAGATAAAGGACTGTATGCTTAAAATAGGACAGGTCTCCACTAATAAAGCAACATGTGCAGCTATCTCATGTACTCTACATCAAATAATCTCAACAAAACCTTGGGAATTGCTGTTGTTGTAGCTCGACGGCTGTCAGACCAAGTTTAATTACTCAAGTTTGAGACTGAGGTGGGCAAAGTCATCGAAACGTCAGCCATCGAACTACAACAACAAAATACCAACGCCGATAACAAAAAATCAGTTCATAACAAGGACATATACCTCGGGAATTGTCGGGGCTCCGTTAGAATGGTCAAGTTAGAAGTACGCTCAGGTGTGCTGATAGAGGCGCGAAGCTAGCTCGTCAAAGAAGTTATGATTATCAGTGGTACTGATATCATTGCTAACTTCATGAAGATAAAACGTGTTGCTTGGCTTTTCCACCAAGCGTCCCTCGAAAAGTGGTGCAATTTGACATCGCTTGCCCTCTGTTATTTAACCGACCTTAGGGGATACATTTTTTCGAAAGAACACTTCTAACTGTGGCGTAATTTTGTCGTGCGTGTGCAGAGTGAACCGAGAGCGAGGCTCGGCCTATCCCGCTCCGTACTCGCGCCTATGATACTGGTGGCGGGTGACACTATTACTACACTCACTATTCAACAATAGATACCAACTGTCGAGAGCATGACTTCCATACCACTAGACGCGTCATCAAGCAAAATCTGCCTACTGAAGCTAAAGTGTGAAGCTGAGAGCTATACACACTACCTGTCACCAGTGATGACACGTGTGAACATTTTCTGTTTCAGGCATGTGAGAGAGTCGCTGCATACGTAACAGTGGGAACACTGCGACCCTACTTCCGACAGAAGGTAGGTTACCAACTTTTTCAGCTTCTCTAGTTTTTGAGTCGAGTTCGTTTCCGATATGAGTATAGAAGAACATATCTCGGGCTGGGAAATCATGAACGGCCTTGCGGGAATACCTAAGAACATTTCAGTCGTGCACTTCCAACTCCTCTTGAGTGAGGTGAGACACGTGCCTTCATTATCTCATGCGAGTCATACAAAAGTTGTTTAAGCAGATACAATGAGAAATGAAGCTATGCATTTTGAAATAATATGACAGGAATTTGTTACTAACTAAATAACTGGTTAGGATAATAGACTGGAATACGCATACACAAGGATTTGAGAAGCCATGCCACGCATGCTTCATTTTCTATATCCACGGACTACCACAATCTAAGTATTAATCACAATAAAAAGCGAAACGAATATAAGAAAAAGCAAGCAGGTTGCACGTTTAAGCTGTGACATACTATGACAACAAAGTCTGAGAGTTTCTCTTCGTTAGTCCCGCGAGTGCTTACCTCTGTTCCTCTTCTTCGATGGTGAACACGAGATTCAAATTGCTAGTCGGTCCCTCATGTAAATTGTCCTCCGAGAGCCTTTCTTTCTGGGCATCCACTAGGAAAACCTGAACCTCAACGAATTTGCAAAAGTCAGAGGAAATAAAACAGGATAACTTGACGACATTAGTAACTTCCTAGGATACCAGTCTAAGAGCTCTGCAGAAACATTGTATGAAATGTCCGATTTCGAACAGAAAGTCTGAAACAATAACACTTGCCTTAAAATTAAACTTTATCTAGCAAAGTAGGAGCAATTATAATCAGTATACTTCTGCAACGGTGTCATAGGTTCCGACGTTCCATCCATATAGTTAGAATTTGTTTCTACATCTGAAGAGATCGGCGCCTTTTCCATTAACTGTTGACTGGCTAGTGTTTTTTTCTTAATAAAGAAAGTTATGCAAATGTTTGATGAGGTCTTAGCGTGGTGGTGACAGATCTGCTGAGTAAAATCTGATATAGCTGAGATTTCTGCACGTCCATCTACAACTCCAGCACTTGTGCAACACAGGAGTGGTCTTCCCATGCAACAGAACTAGTCGCCTTTCACTGATCCAGCCACACAGACTGCGGTTCCTGGCGCGTTTTGTTGATATATTCGCAGCATATCCCTACTGTAATCTTTTCTTCAAGACTATCATCGTAAAATGCAGATTACATCTGAAGAATAGGATAACTCATCTCAATATTCTTTTGCGGAGAAGGATGGCGGAGTAGTTAGTGATGTAGTCCATCAGAAAGCAAGGTGCTATATGGTTCGACCACTTTCCTAATGCTCACCTTCAATGTGGGAAAGCGTTAGCTCTGCCACCTCCAAGACTGCAAGGAGAACCGACTTAACCAACATTCTGCGACATTCATAAACAATATGAAACCCTCAAGCAGTAGTCGAAACAACACGCGAAATCTTCGAGGACCTTTGTGAACGATGAATGCGAGGAAAACGAATCGAATGTAAGAAACGCTGGGATTTGTACAGTAGATGCGATGAGGGACCATGTAAAGAAGTTTCTTTCCCTGCAAATGAGTAAAAAAACTTCTTTTTCTGCAAATAACTTCGGCAGGTGTTCCGGAGTTTCTTGTGTTCAGTACTGTAACAGAATGTAGTTGGTTGAAATGAAGAATCTCCATCACACTTCACAATTTGACCAATGAATGGATCGATCATGTCGCGTGAAATAAGCCCAAGACCGATTTTATAACGCTGATATTCGTTCTCTGTCCAAATAATACGACATTCGACTTCCCAGATTTTTTAAAACTTTTTAATTTCCCTAAGATGTTTCGAGATCTCTGTTTTGAAAAAAATAAACAGTAAATAGAAGTTACAATATTGTGAGTTCAACTGCAGCTTTAACTTGATTGGCTTCAGTGCCGATTTGTGCTCCCTGATCAATCCCGTTGAATGGTGACTGCTGGTGGCACTGATGAATTACAAAACTGGCTCAGTGAAAGGCAAAGCAAGAGTGCCTCGGTTGGTGTGATGGATGACATGTGATCCATGGTAAGGGTGACCGCGGGTTCGAAGCCCATCACAGTTCCAAGTTTTGCTCATATCTCTGCAAGCTTTTGGTTTTATTTCTCTGTCTTGATTCTAGAAGCTGAATTCCATCTAATTTCAGGGTTTATCGATAACCTATTGTATTTCTGAAGAGATGACACAAGACGTTTTTCCATTGTGAACACATTAACCCTTCCGAAGCTCTCGAGCCGCTCTGCGTTGATCTGCTTCTGTTGACTTGTTCATATGGTCGTCATCAGTGGTAAGAATTCGCTGTCTACCTTGTTCATATCTTGAACGCCACTCTCATCTCTTACGAAGCTTCTGGAACCAATATTTTACCAAATCCTCGCCAGAGATTTCCTGTCCTGCAACAATAATATTACGAAAAGTTCTCGCCGCTTTATTTTCAAGTCTGAATCCCTTAAAAAAGTGCTCGAATTTAAATCGAATTTGCCTCTTCACATCTTTATAAGAAGATCAAAATCGGACATTTCGTAAAACTTAATTAGCCAAAACAACGGAAAAGTTCTACGATTGCTGACGTTTTCCGATCAATCAGTTTATTTTTCGAAACTTTCAATTCCTACATAGATCGGTTTCAAAAGAGCGAATGGCTTATGGATTTCCATATCTGTGAGATTTTCAATGGCTACAACCTGTTGGGCAAGAATCTTTTCCTTGAGCGGTAGTCCTTCGGTATTGTCCACCATTATTTCCGCCAAGTCACTTTTTTTGTCTGCGGAATCAGAGGGACACACCGAAAGAAGAGTACGAATTGGAGCTAAAGTCGCTGACCTGAATATCTTAAGAAAGTTTTACTGATTTTTTGATCGCCCATCGATAAAGTCAGCCCTTTTTTGCATTCTCGAGCTCTGAATACCAACGAAAAAGAACAGAGTAGAAAGAAGAAGAAAGAAATTATTAGCTGAGCGAAGTAGCGCTACATAGGTAAGGTAACTGGTAAAGATGAAACAAGTCCATGTTCTATTGAAACCACAAGTAAGAGTTTGTAGTTGTAATAGAGAAGAAATCAAGTGATTTATATCCTAGTTAGTCATAATGTGAAAAGCATGGAAATCTTCTCACGTGGCGTCCCAAAGCGACTTCGAGAGGATCGTCCACTGCTCATTAGTATAATGTGGCGCTAGCGCAGTCAAGTGTCGTAAACAAGCAGCTCCCACTCGAGGAAGATCTCCAGAAAGAGTGGTGCATCCAGTGGCTAGTCGACAGACATCCAATAGAAGCCGACTGTGCCAACAAGCTAAACTAACCAAATTATTCCTACTTTGTCACTGACTAGTATCGATGATGGCTTGCATCCACCGCCTCACATCACTTTAAACGTTAACCACTGACAATACGTAAAAGTGTAAGTAATAACTTTGATCGAGGGACAGGATGTCGACTACCATCTGAGTGCTTATGCCCACTGCTTGCCGAAGATTCGCATCACTTCTTCCACCATCCATCTGATTTGACTCATTCCGCCCCAACCATTTCTGGATATGAGGTAGCAGAAGAGTTGATAAGCAGAAGCAAGCCGTTGGTAGCCCTGAATAAGCGAATCACGGGTTTCTCAAAAAATTTGACCGACCATCGACAAACACACAGACTCGATTTCAGAGAAGTCTGATTTTCTCAACTTTCAAGTTCTAAAAATTGGGAGAAATTCCACTATAGAAACCAGGTGTGTCGAATCTCGTACAGAGATGAAGTCACTGGATTCCTTGAACAGCTCAGCAAGAACTTCTTCAAAAATTTTTTCGAAAGTAAGTGGGGCAGTTTTTTGGGTGCTTTCAGAAAATAACACTGAAAAGCAGTTAACATGAATGCGTCGTTTTCTTGTTCAGCAATCGCGAGGTTTTTAAACAGCATACTTTTACTTCCATTGAGAAACAGAATACAATACAACACTAGCTGACGTCTCGGCAGTATCACCTTCTTCAGAGCCTAGAAGGGTATAAATGGGGTTCATAATGCACCAAGAAAATCTAGGGTCACCGTGATTGGAGGCATAACAATACCTGAGAATGTGCGCTCGCTATTAGAATTGGGCCCAAGTTTTGCACCATCACAGCCCATTTCTAAAACGACCTTGCGTAGGATAGCATGCAACCTTTATGAGCAACTTATCGAATTTCTCTTCGATGTTACCATTAACGGTATCTTCCAAAGAGTCAATTAAAGGCCAGAATAAATCCCGATTCACAGCGGATTCAGGATTTCGTTCCTTGACCTTAGCGGGTTTTTCTCCTTCCTGCATGGAATCGAATCTTGCGCGAACGAAACATGACCTGATTCCGCGTGGAATTTTAGGAAAACAGCAGCATTTACATTGGCAACATCTACGATCTACTATGGTGTGGTCTATGCCATTGTGATACTCTCCACTGGGAGACTCTCATGGCCAGCGTTAAGAGTGGGACCTTTGGAATTGTGTTACCATGGATGGTTGTGGTTATTATAATAAACTTGAACGGTCGCTTGCCCTGCTTGTTCCATTCTTCAGACGTTCGTTTGGGTCTAATCTTAGCGTCGTTTTCTTGTTCAGCAATCGCGAGGTTTTTAAACAGCATACATTTACTTCCATAGGGAAACACAAAACAATACAACACTAGCTGACGTTTCGGCAGTATCGCCTTCTCCAGAGCCTGGAATGGTATACTGTTGTACAATGTATGCTGTTTAAAAACCTCGCGATTGCTGAACAAGAAAGCGACAGATTCATATTGCAATGCCGAGGTTAATAGAAAGTCGATCTTGGGAACTATTACAAGATGTACCAGCAAAATACTTTCGACTTGTGAAGGAAGCATTGTCACTAAGACNATAGCAAATCAACTTTCTCCGCCGCTGTTTTCAATATCGAGCCGTGCCGAAGTTTATAAAACGAAAGCGACTTCACAAGATATGCGATCAACCAGAGGGCAGCCAGTACGAGGCATCGAAATGGAACTACTTCGAGCTGCACTACGAAGCAAGCAGAACGAGATGTTTGCCAGAATGAAGAAGTGTGCAACGAAGGAACATTTTTGTGCTTTGTATTTGGAGGATCGCCTTTGGAGGAGAATAGTTGGTGGGTCAATATTGATATGCGATTTTATTAGATCTAATGCCAAAATAACCTTACAACGAAAACTCGAAAACCTTTTGTGTAATTCACATGTCTCAGCTTCAAGAAACAACCGCAAACGAATTCCTTACGCTTCTGATAATAGTCAAAATGGGGTTGATAATGCACCAAGAAAATCTAGGGTCGCCGTGATTGGGGACATAACAACACCTGAGAATGCGCGCTCGCTATTAGAATTGGGCCCAAGTTTTGCATCATCACAGCCCATTTCTAAGACCCTCTGTAGGATAGCAGGCAACCTTTACGAGCTTCACGATCGACTCCGCTATCAGGCCAAGCAAGAAACATCAAATAGAGATAAAAATCAAGAGGCGGCAGCACTACCACCATCTCCTTTCCCTAAAACGTTTTTTACACAGCAGGACCCTAACGATGGAGTTGACATAAAATTCCGCGTGTTTTCGGACGGCGTTCTCAAGACCCTTGATCACTACCGCGATAGAAAGTTTATCTCTAACCTTACAGCCGCACAAAAATGTGGCATGCGAGAAATTAGAGAATTAATAAACTCGAAAACAATAAGATTGTCTGTTAGTGATAAGGGGGAGAGCTCGTGGTTATCCCTCGCCAGCTGGATGTTGAGATAACAGAGGAACATCTTAGTGATGCTACTCTCTACTGCCCATCCTCTGAAAAGGAATATAAAAATCAATACCGAAAACTAAACAATCAATGGGTCAGTGTGGCAAAGGCTGCGGGTTTGAAATCATCGGTTATTTCGCACTTTAAAATCGATAAACCAACATGTCCCGTCCTATACTATATCCTAACACGTCCTTATTAAGACACATAAGTTGGTATCACCTGATGATCATGCGTCAACCAATCCGTCATCATTTAAGATTAGACCGATCATCAGCTGCGTAGACGGGCCAACGGATAGAATAACCTCGTTTTTAAGCCTGATACTTACCCAGCTGCTTAACCACATTCCAGCTCACCTCACAAACACCCAAATGTTCCTAGAACGTCTACGTAACGCGTCTCCCAATAACGCGTACGTGATGGAGTCTTTCGACGTTACCACACTGTACACCAACGTATCGAATGACTCCGCAATGCAAGCCATCTTCGAACTTCTTGTTGAACATGAAGGAAGAATAAATATGCATGGCTTGTCCATCCAGCAGCTAATGGCTCTCTTCAAGGAGTGCCTAAAGTGCTCGATTTTTAGATGGTCTGGGAAATATTTTGCGCAAATAAGGGGGTTGGCAATGGGACAGCGACTGGCACCAAACCTTGCCATTGTGTTTATGTCTAAGATAGAAGCCCCTGTTCTCGATCTCCAGCCACTACTCTACTGCAGATATGTAGATGATTGTTTTGTCGTCTTCTCTACGCAAGAGGAGATGGACAAATGCTTTGAATTATTGAACGAGCAGTCTGAGTACATGAAGTTCACCCAGGAGAAACCGAGAAAAAACTGGCTTCCGTTTTTGAACGTTCAAATAAACCTATCAAGTAGCGGTTACTTGACAAAGTGGTACGGAAAGCCAAGTAACAAGAACATCCTTGTTCATCCTTGTTCATTTCCTTTCTTCCCACACTTCACACACAAAGAGAGCGATTGTGAGAAACCTGTTTCGAACAGCCACCTCTGTGTGCACTACCAGGGAACTAAAAGAAGAATCGCGCGGCATGGCTCGGCAAATAGCCATCTCCAATGGCTACGAAATAGTAACCCCACGAAATAAGTTTAGAAGGAGAGCGACGCGCCCACGCGAAACACTTAACCAAAAGAAAATCCCGTTTATGTTGCTTTTTATAAGCGATGAAGTAAGCGTAGCTATAAAACGATGCTTAAGAAAGGCAGGTCTAGAGGAATCGGTAGATTGAAATACCACCGGCTACTCTACGTCGCCAATTAGTTCGCAACCGCCTGTATGACCGTCTATGTGAAACAATAAAATTGCGTAATTTGCCCTTACGGCAGGGACGGTGATTGCATGAGTTCAGGTACGATATACCTGATCTCTTGTAATAATTGCGGAGATGAATATATTGGAGAAACGGCCAGACCTTTGTGTATCCGTATAAAAGAACACCTAGATGGCAAACGAAAACTAAGACGAAGCACCCCACTAGGCACGCATAGGATACAAAAGCATAGCGGAGACGATTTTGAAGTAAAAGTCAATATTCTTGCACAGGAGACTAAAATACCAGCGCGAGAACTTCTTGAGGCTTTTTGGATAAATGCGAAAAACCCTACAATGAACAGCAGAGAGGAATGCCCAGAGGTCACATGGGATCTGGCCCCGTATGTTCGCATCAATTTCTGATGCGGGATGGTGCAGTTACCAACCATGTGCGACTATAATCAACTGTTCTAAACTTCCTCACTGGAAGGCACGTAAAAAGTGGTGAGTTTTTTGAGAAGCTGTTGATCATGTAATTACCATAGAGTTTTTTCGTCTTTTTGTATGTGTTGTTGAAGCGTTTGGCCTAGTAGATTGTATATCAGTATACCCTTTCAGGCTCTGAAGAAGGCGATACTGCCGAGACGTCAGCTAGTGTTGTATTGTATTGTGTTTTTCTATGGAAGTAAATGTATGCTGTTTAACAACCTCGCGATTGCCGAACAAGAAAACGACGCATTCATATTCCAATGCCGAGGTTAATAGAAAGTCAATCCTGAGCAGTTTGCATGACTAAGTAGCCGAAGCTAAGGTCTTATATCAGTTAGTCGGTGAGGTACTCGCAAGTGGACTACGGTTTTCCTTAGTAAACAATTATATTAATAGGTAGGTAAACTTCCAGGTGAGAAAGTGTATGAACAAATAACTCTCTTCGTATTGATCTATGGAAACTCTCGAAGTGTTATTTAAATGGAAAGGCAGGCAGATAGGTCAGACCGAATTCACTGGATCTGATCGTGGTGATGAGCTGTTGAATGCACAGAAGAAGCGTTGACTGAATGCAGGACGGAGCAGTGATTAGGGTGCCCGACAGGTGCTCGACGAGCGAAAGTAACAGTTCCAGGGAGGCCACTTCAGACGGCGACAACTCCATCCACGGCAGTTCACCAAGTGGCACTAAATTTGTTTACCTTGCAGTAATTAGTGGTCTTAATTAGCAATGAAATAATAAAAACTAGAATAAATGATAGTTACCGCTTGTTATAGTGACATTTGACAGTTCAATTCAAATATGGAAGAATCTTAAACAACAATAAAGCTTCTTTTTGAATTCTTGAAAAGGCTTTGTCAGAATTTCAGACCTTCAAGCAAAGCATCCAACTGTAAGGGAGATGGATCGCCATCTTGGAGAGGAAACTGCACAGGATCGAGACAAGCGGAGAGTGGACAGAACGATGTTGTGACCCATTCTACTTCATCCAGAGACTTACTGCGTAGTTCGGCTCTAAAAATCGTTAAATACAGGCAGCCGCTCTGGTATCGGAAATTTATTGCCATACCGGTGTAGTAGATTTGGGTTGGCGATATGCACGGTTCTGAAGAGGTTGAGGATTACGGTGTAGGTCGGCGTGATGAGACGGAGCGCCGCCTCGCTAAGCTGGTCGTCAACTCGCTTCATGTTGTCGATGACATCTTTTGTCTGAAGTTCTCTCTTGGACACACTCGATTGCAGGAAGTGCACAATACATGGCAGACAGTCTGGGAGCGACCACGACAACACCGAACTGAAATTAGTTGAGAACGTAACCCGTTTAGGAAAAAATCAAAGGCGAATCATAAACATGAATTCGCTTGTACAGTTATAACGACAAAACTACATTAAAAATAAACTAAAATTTAACGACTTGAAGTAAATAGATTAAAATTGATCTTCGGAATTGTTACTCTGAATTTGTCTTGTCCAACTCTCTGCTTTAGTTTTATGTCCTTCTGCCGCGTTTTTCCTAGTCGATGCTAGAGAAAACTAGTTATTTAGTGTAGATATAAACAATGTGGAGTCGTGAGTGAATTTTACCTTCAATGCGGTGCTCTTTATACCTCTATCGAAATTCTTAAGTGGTCTACAGCAGCAATGAAATCGCGAAGAGCGCCGAAGGTACGGCAAGGCATCTAATTGTTCATACAGACATTTAGGGGAATGGACTAAAATACGTTGCCTACAAAGAATTAATGCAAGATCTCTATCGCCACGTATCCAGGCCTCAGTGGAGATATGCGCCGCGTATGGAGACCTTTCTAACTTAATTCTTGACATAAGCGAAGGACTGGCTATAGACGTACTAATTTCCGATCCGCAGATACGCTCCGATGACATCAAGCACCGTCCAGTGCACGCTAGCATCGTCAACCTCTGAAGTGCGAACGGCACGAAGAGTGCCGAACAACGTTTTCCAACCTGAATCAATCCACAGTTCACCAAATAAAAACGATTGGGCATTTCATGAATAGGCACGGATTTTGCCAAACGTACTTGCAAAGTGTCAAGTTTTTACCATTTATCATTGATCATCACTTATTTCAAAGAGCCTAGCTAAAGGATAATGAAAAGATGTTAGGAACTGAATGTAGAATTTTAGCTTTCTTTTAAAATTTTATCTAAGTAAGTGGAGATTTTAAGAAGCCCTAGCACGACTTAGCACAATTTCATAGAAAGTCATTGATGAGAAAAAGCCGTTTTCTATGTAAGCAGGTTGTTCTAACTAGACATTTCAAAGAAATGATGCACAATGATCAATGATAACTTTGTTAACAAGTCAGAAATTTTGCGCGTTTTCCCAAGAAGTTGAGGATTGATCACATTTTTCCACGCAAAGTTTTTTCCACACTTTCGAATGGCAATCAAACGTCGGAAGGCCCGAGTTCTAGGTAGGATGTAGAAGCACTTCCAACCGAATGTTTTCACTAACAAAGGAGCGGTCGAAACCGTTTGTGTAACGACTGATGAAACATCTGGGCATTTCGGTTAGTGAAGATTAGTGCCAGGAGTTCATTGATTCACTACTTTTCCGAAGCAAAGTCCGCGCAAGTGTTTTCCGATGGTCAACTGGTAAGCAAAAAAATGCCCCAACTAATTCGCTTGTGGTCGCACCCGAACACTCCCAGCTGGCAGTGCAACTTGTCGTCGTCTAGTGAAGAGTGCCATACCGACCTAGTAGAGTTGCATATCAACACTGACCCACCCATTATTCTCCCACAGGGGCGGTCCTCCGAATACTGATTCCAATAGTGTTCTTTCGCACAGATGTCTTCTAAGAGTTATTCATATTCTTTGTGAAAACCAGAGATTACACAATGGTTCACTCGAACAGTCAAATTTGAAGTAAGTGATTTCCCAGATTGCAAGCTATTGAAATAATGAACATTCTAATAGGTAATAGAAGCGAAGACCATCGTTAAGGTTTAATTGTGAAAGAGAATAAAAGCACGTGAAGTGACGAAGTTCAGTTTCAATCAAGATTGTTTTAGGAATGTAGCACATAAGTGCTAAATTATGTTTTTATGTTAAATAGATGGGTATAAATAAGTATGGTAGGGAAACAGCAAATGTATACGAGGACCGCGGCGGCATGTGCCCCATAATTATATTAATGATGAACAGCAGAACTTGCTTAAAAAGTTAGCCGTAGAAGCCACAAAGCAAATAAGGAGTCACACCTGATCCTATTCGGTCCGACTTCGTCTTCACAAAATCGGCCAATACTGCGACGATTTGTTCACGAGTCTCAGGCGAGCACGTTTCGGAGCAGGCGATGGTCTGAACTCATCGTACACAGAACAGTTAGGAATAAACCTCTTTTTTCGTTTTCCCTACACCACCTTACTCCGAGACGATTGTAGAAACAGATCATCATATATCACTTTCCGACAGCTGAACTAAAAAACAATCCTAGCAAAAACTGTATGTATAAAACAAAGGGTTTTACCCTAAAAGCAAAAAAACCACAGGCAGTGAATTGAAAGTTGAAAAAATTGTGGTTTCGATTGTAGCCTCAGCTTAACTGGGTTCAATACCGATTTGTGGTACCCAGATCAATCCCGTTGATGAGCGATTGCTGATGGAACCTATAAAATACGTCCGACAGAAAGGCGGAACGAGGGACAGTCATGATGTGGTGGGAACACTTTAGCCCCAGAAGTAATCGCGGGTTCAAACCTGGCCTACGGTTCGAGTTTTGCAAATATCTTAGTACCACTGTGATTATCCAACTAGTTGAAACATGATCAGAAAGTGGGTAGAGGTACCAAGTCTCAAAAGCCAACTGTTTCCGAGGTGTGACTATGGCATCTGCAGTAGCCAAGCATTTGGTGAACTTATTACCTGACTGATTACATTTCTTTGGTCAAGTACAACCGGCAAAGAGTTAGAAATAACCTTAAAAGCAGGTTGTGCAATGACGTATCATAACCCAAACAGACGAAAACCCAGAATAGGAGTGGAAAAGTTGGTTTGATAAGCATAAGGCCAGGCTCAAGAATTTTAATGCACCGTTCTTAACTATGGGAGCTGTCGCTAGCGACAAGAAATTGTTGAATACAGATATAAGACATCTCCGTGGCGCAATTTGGAGAGTGGTTTTCACATTGCAGATGTGGCTTCAAGATCATCGGAAAAATGCCGAATATTCACACTCTTCGTCATACAACGAATCACATTAAACACTTTGCGATAGTATCACTGTAAAGAAGAATAGGAAAGAGAATACACAAGCATTACATGGTGGAAACCCTTCATAAAAATAGGATTCGCATGGATTCCAAGACGAATTGGTCATCATCTAAGTACCAACTTACGGGACGTACTGTCTTTAAGCCTGTGTACCGGAATGCTTACAGTCTTCTTGGCAATTTCATGCAAAAGGATAAACCTCTCAGGTTTTTCGTCGCGAACTTCAAGAAAGATAAGAAAGCAGTAAAGTGTAGTAGGGAATTTTCATGGTCGTAAAAAGAATATAGCAGAGCTTTCATATACAATTTTTTGTATGAAGATTTGATTAAAAACCAGATGTCGAGAAAGCGTTAATTTCAAAACGAGAAGGGAACTAGATTCTATGCAGTCATCGTATTCAAAATACTATACGATTCGCTCACAATTACCGTCGTAAAGGTGTTCACAGCAAACGACCACTACTTCCTCGAATAATTTAATGCTGCTACATTTGAAACAACGCGAACAAGCCTCTCCACAAAAGGAGCTTACTGTTTTTTTTCCAAAAGCTAACTCCGAGCAGCGAATACAGAGGTAGAAAAGCTAGGTCGCTAGAAAAACCTAACAAATTCCACTAGTTCATGAAAATCACCTGAAATGGAGCGACGAGCATTTGATTGAAGCAGAGGCCTTGGGATTCGGCGAGGATAAGGGATGAAATCGTGTCGGAGAGCGCTATAACACCAACACGTGACTCATCAGGAGATGACGAAACCTGAATCATATCACTCTGGTTGGCTTTCCAGAATTTTCGGACGTTTGCAGAATCCCTGGGAAATTCGAAAGTCGAAAAGAGTAGCAGAACGAACATGCACAAAATGACTGCATACTATCGGCCATACAAGCATCTGGTGCACTAGCGGCCGATTTCCGAGAGAGGATAGGATGTCAGAAACCTAAAGCAGTTTTTTGAAACGGAGATCTTTTCAGTAACTTTGATTCCAATCAATTCCGAGCTTCCCATTCTATTACCCATGTTACACCAATAAGTGCTTCTATTCTGTTTATGCTTCGGTCCGATTTATTTCTCCTTTTAAAACTTCTGGCTGTGCAATTTTATTCCTTTCACAATGTTAACATTTTTTTACTGCCTATTACGACTTTTCATGGCAGGACGTGCGAAACAACCACAATGGTGCTGAGATATTTGCAAAACTCTGGACCGCAGGTGTCTGCGGTGGGGAACGAACGCGCTATTACCCTTTCCGAGACCTAATGCGTTCACCACCACACCATGCCAATCCTTCGTTTCGTCTGTCTCCCAGAGTTCTATCGATCAGCTATCGATAGGCAGTAAATAAAAAGTTAACATTGGGATTTCGACTATAGCCTCAGCTTAACTGGGTTCAATGCCGATTTGGGCTTCCCAGATCAATCCCACTGACTAGTGATTGCTCATGGCAAAACATCAATAGAACTAGCTGAGAGACATGCGAAACGAAGGACCCGCATGGTGTGGTGGTGAACGCGTTAGCTCTCGGAAATGGTAGTAGCGCGTTCATTCCCCGCCACAGACATTTGCGGTCCGGAGTTTTGCAAATATCTCAGCACCATTGTGGTTTATTCCTTTCCTCCTCGTCTGAGTCTCAAACATTATTGAGCACAAGAAAAAATGCAATATTGATGTGCCCAGACAAGAAACCATCGAACACTTTTCGAAAGAAGCTTTGTCTATGACAAAGACTGTGGTACGTACTGATTTGTGGGAAACGAACTCCCCGGTTAAAAAGCAGTGCGCACCTATTTTAAATTGCGTCTATGAGAAAACCATTATAGAAGCTTGTATACAAAGTAGACGTTCTTAGCCAACGTTTTCAAAAGGTGCTAAGCAAACCCTTGTGAGCAGATTGGTGGTCGGAGTGAGCACAGCAGCCTTCCGCCCAGAGTAGAAGATCCGATTCTCGCTGGCCGAGGTGACCGCCAAGCACAGCTCGCGCAATGAACGAAGGTTCAATTCGTGACCAACCTTCGAGTAGAACCTCAAACACATACAGCTTGTGCCCCGGTAACTTCGCGGAGTTGGTTCCCTCCAACAAACAGGTAAAGAAAAGATTTCACATAATAAAAATGTCTTGAAGCATGTCTCTACCGTAAAACATATCACTGTAACTATCAAATTCTTCCCGAGTATTTTATTGTATCAAACTCTCTTTATAAACACCTAAGTGGTGTCGTTTACCAGCTAAAACCGAAATTTTTAAAGATTTTGCCGTTTTTATTTTCTTTTACAACATCTCCTAGTAATAATTTGCTGTCTTAGATTTCAACAGATGAGCTGAAAGCATCTCAACTATGAGTTCTTATCAAGTAGGTTCCAACTTTGGCAAGGGTTTAGACAATCCCGACGTCGTACCTGTCCACCTTGGCGATAAGGATGCAGAGCGCTTTGTTCAAGCTGTCTCTGTCGACTTCGCCGTTTCCGATAGCATTCTCTACCGAACGATCAGCCGCTGTTTCGCCCTAAAATTGACCTTCTCTTTTGAGACGAAGACGCATTGTTTGGCAAAACATAAAATAACCACAACGATGCTGAGATATTCGCAAAGCTTGGATCTCAGGCTAGATCGAACCACGATTTCCCTTTTCGGGGACTATCGCATAACACACTGCGCCACGATGGCCCTTGCTCCGCGTTTCTCTCAGCTAGTTTTCTACCTAACGCTGCCATCACCAATCGCCCGTCGCCGGGATTGATCTGGAGAGCACTAATGGGCCTTGAACCCAGTAAACTGAGGTTGTAGTCGAAATCACAATGTTAACCTTTTATTTTCTGCCTACTATAATTTTACGCGGCAGGGTATGATGTGAATTACAACCACGACGGTGCTGAGATAATCGCAAAATTTGATTGCTTGACTGGATGGGTGTTTGCTGATGGCAGCGTTAAGTAAAAACTAGCTGAGAGAAACGCAGAGCAACGGCCTGGGTGGTGCAGTGTGTAAAGCGCGAGTTCCCGGAAAGGGAAATCGTGGTTCGATCTAGCCCGAGGTCCAGGATTTGTTAATACCTCAGCATCGTTGTGCTTGTAATTCACATCATACCCTACCGTGAAAAATTGTAGTAGGAAAAAATGAAAAGTTAAACACGACATAGTTCACAAAACCTTTTGCAATCATTTGTCATTTTCGGGAACAGATTATGTTTGTGATAGGAGCAATGCTGTGTTCTGATTGAAATACCAGCTAGGTATTTAATATGTCACGCTACGATCACAAGCCATGAACTGTTCGAATAAGGGATCAGCTGCTTACGTCCATACTTGGCAAGCTGTACTTGCCATTTCTGAATACCAACATAGACTCATCGGTTTTGAGTCATGACGGTGGAGTGCGCACTCTTGAAGTATGACAAGGCTGGAATATTTCGTCAGAATCAATGGATGTTCCTAATCAAGCGCAAATATGCAAAGTGCTACTAAAAACACAAAGCGCTCGGCGTTAACAATCTTTTAAGGATGCTCTATGCATACAACTTCACCGAGAATAGCTGATCCAGTGAGTATTTCAGGATACACCAACCAGTGCGCAAGATGCACCTCGCAGCTAAAACATCGTCTTCAATCCTCAGGATGCAAATTGATTCATCGAAGTACTAGAATTCATCTTTGCCCACAGCAAAGTGCAAATCTCACTCCGCCACATGTGTGGTCCCGGAGGACCAGTTCCACTGCACCAGAATGCAGTTTTTCTCCGTACTCATGAAAAAAAGTGGAAATGTTCATGGCAGTAGAAATCTATGCTATTTATTCACAAAACGTGGAGGCAGAGCTACTTTAGCTGTCGCTAGACTGTACGGATAACATATTGTTTCCAGACGCTTGGCGGTTATAACTGCAGTTGCACTAACTGCTTAGTGGCCTTGTCTCTTAATAATTCAAACCATCGGGATTACATTCGCACCTATTCAAATGGCAGTTTTTTCTCAAAACAAGAATCTTTGTTTGGATAACGCAATAAGGTTGGTCACAGAAAGCCGACTACTTTTTGTGGATTCTCTCAAACATTCACCTGTATCTCCTCATGTAAAGATGGCTGAGCGGGCTGCTTGTTTCTGCTGAAACTGAATCGTGATGGCTTCTCGTAACACAAAGCTCCATAGATGAATTTCTCCAATTCCCATATATACTCACTGCATCTGAAAAGAAAAATAAGGACAATTTCACAAATCCTTCGACAGCTGCTTTCCATTCCCACCTTATCACATGTTTCCAACATTCTGGAGCGTGGATCGAGACGAAAGCACTGTCCAGTACGAGTTGCATGCTTAAGAGATCCTCACGGTTGAGGACTCGAACACGCTTCTAGAATAAATTCCTACCAACATGTGAAAATCTTACTACCTCTTGGCTATATATGAAGTTTTAGCGTTAAAAATGACCAAATTAGATAACTCGACTACATTTCAATAGAGTGAACTGAAACAGAGACTATCCCAAATACCCTTAAAGTAGGAACTCGTACTTGAAGCAATACTTTTTTACACGATCGCTCTTCACATGTATTGTGCGGATCATAGCACCTCCTGGATTCGATTCGGTTCATCGCATCCGTCATCCACAAAGGTGTCTGAACTTCTCCGTGTGGGCTCGGCTGCTATACAAGGCCTTTCGTTTCCGTCATGAATACACCGTAGCATGCTAGTCAAGTTGATTCTCCTTGGAATTCCGAGACTGCTGAGCTAGACCGTTCTCACTTGGATTGAGGGTAGTGGGCTGTTTCCAGACAAATCTTGTCTAGTAACTACTCGCGACCTTGGAGCGATGTGATACTTGGTCAGTCCAGGCGGGATGGAAAAGGCAGCGCGTTCGTTGTGAACGATCATCAATACCACTGCGCTACCCGCCCATACAGCAGGACTAGTTTTATGAAATAAAATATGCCTATGTTCTGTTTTCCGTTTCATGCATAGGGTCAAAAAATTTTTGTAACACTCCTCACGCATAAATGTAACACATACCTGATCTTCTGATTCAGCAAACGTTCGTAGTTCATCGACATCACACGACGACTCGACAAGCTTTTCAAAAATCCAACCGCAGCGGTCAGCCAATTCTGAAATCTTGGCAACGATGCTTTTTTAATTCCGAAAAGTTGCCCGTTTTCAAGAGTTTCTCAGGTGATCTGCAAATTAGAAACCAAAGCTCATAGTTACCCATTCAATCATATGAGATGTTCGAACTATTTCGTTTTCTACAGTATATTCTCACAGCACACTTCTAAGCCCACTGGTAACTTTTAAATCTGTGTTTGTGTCGCTGGCTCATATAACTATTTGCTCCTTTTTCTTTCGTTCTCATAAAGGATAAAGCACAAGGCTCTCGGTGATAATCAATCCCTGAGGTATGGACCATGAATTCGAATTCATTAAGCGTCGTTTGGAGGTGATTCGATGCATATCTGGCCTTTACAATGACTCGCGGTGGCCTACCGATATTTCGAGACAGTGCTGCTATCTTTCCAGACAAGTCCGGTACCAATTTGCCGACTCTGGAGGAATGGGATGCTTGGTGGATCATGGCGCGAGGATCGATTCTACGTGTGTATTGCAAGACGCCTTCGACCACTGCGCCCTATTCGTTTTCATACACAATTCCTTCCGTTTTAAAAACTGACATATTGTTCGAATCTCAGCACTGCTTCCATTTGATTGGTTTCCTCACAACCATTGCCATGAAGGTTTTCGTATTTGCGTGTGGGTTCAACTTAAGCTTTAGGATTTTGATCTGCTTCATGAACGTCGTTAAATAATGGTTGAACAGCTTCTCTCGAAAAACCGATTTTTATTTAACCTCGGCATAAGTACTCAATAGTTCCTTGGATTTTGTTGGACATTTTGGGGAGTCCCACTCGTAACAGCACGAATCTGAAGAAGGTGAAATCACCCAAACGTCAGCCGTCGACCAACAACACCAACAAGTTTCTCAGGTTAAGTTGGCACGAGGTTGCTGTGTGACTCGAATCAAACCGACTCTGAAGAAGCCGAAAGCGTCGGAGCGTTAGCCGAGTAAATATTTTTGTACCAACCTCGTAACACCTCAACAGTTCTAGAAACTGTAGGTCCTCCGTTTTTCTGGGAGTAGGCCATTCTGAAATATTCACCACAGGCAGTCGCCAACATTTGTGGATCAAAGGAAGCTTCCAAGGCAAGTCTAGTACAAATTTTCTAACCGCGAAGGGTGGGAGTCTCGGCTGGAATGCTTTGGGTCGAACCAGGAAACTGTGAGTACTATTAAATGGGATCTCTATCACTGCACTACCCATACCCCAATTCAAAAACGGATATGCTATTGGATTAATTAATAAGCAGTTAATGATAGGCTTTAGAATTATTAGATGCTAATAGAGCATCGATGAAAACTAGTAAAAAATCCAAAAGAGAACCCGAGTAGGGAAACGTAGCACTCACCTAGCTCCAGTGCTACAGCTGCTAAGAGTTGCATCCCTTTGACAGAGTGCTCGATACCATCCTGGACTTTTTGACGAGCCTTGCGTCGATCTGAAGGTATCGATATCTGCGCACAAATATAAACCCATAAACACAAGTGAAGAATAAAGAAATGACTCGAAAGACCGACTTTCTATAAACCTCGGCATAGATAGTTGATATATTTATTTATGTGATCTTATGAACTGATCTTCTTAAGCTGACGCGAGGTTGGTACAGATCTTCGTTGTCGTTGTCGTTGTTTTTGATGTTATTGATCGATGGCTGACGTTTCGGCGACTTCGCCTTCCTCAGAGCCGTGA